GATGACCGAGCCATTCCGAAGCGATGCAAGCACACAGGTGGGCGAAAGTTTTCAAGTATTGCGGGCTTTCGAGAGGTCTTAGGATATACGGTTTTTGAGATTAGATTGAGTGTGTTTGGTTTGTTTTCTGGCTCCATTTCAAGAATTCAAGGTGTTTATACACTTTCAGTGAGAGTTGACGACTATCAGGTGTTCACCTGGAGTTCGGAATGAGGGATCCCTCGCGAGGCTTGTGGTAATATTGGCTTTTTGAAACTGTTCCGACAGGAAACTGTTGGGGGAGTTGCCGGGGCCTGTGCAAAGTTCAAATTTCCCTCAAGCTCTAAACCCGAAGCCCTGCTCCTACTCACCGAAGACGAGACCCTTGATTCCAAAAGCCTGCAAACCCACCCTGAAGCTTTACATAAGAAAAATCGCACTCAATTTTATGGGGGCTATCCCCCAAAAACAATTGACAGCGACCCTTACAGGGCTTTGTGGAAGAGAATACCTTGCCCGCTTCTCAGAGTGCTAATATAGGCGCCTAATTATTACATTACCCATACAGTTAAGTTATTCTAAACATAGTCGACATAGTCACCATTCTAACCAATAAAGCCCCTATATCCCGTGGCCTGCTGATGTTTACTTCTCTGCCTTGTATGTCGCGCAGGCCTAAACAGAACCCCTCATCCCGAAATTGCCCTAAACCCCTCAAAGCCCGCAGTCCTTGCAACACAACAGCCCCTGGTTCCTGGTTTAGGGTCTGGGTGGGTGTCCCTGCTCATCAAACCAAGCCCTCCCCAACTCTTGAAACCTCTGCAAGTCTCCAAACCCTTTTTCCCGGATCCTGTGGCTTTGCTAGCCTTATCCCTGCATCACGAAATGTGCCAAGTTTCTGAGTCCCCCAACCTTCACCCACAAAGCCTCAGGCCGCAGATTCCCAAACCCTCAACCCCTAATCCTGATCCGAGCCGACAGTTGCCTCTGTGTTGTGAGTAGTCGTACGGAGAGACCTCGTTTGGCGAGCCCAAAAAAGCGAGAGCGTAAACCTTAATCCCTACCGCAAAGATTACCTCAAGAGCCCCCCAAAACCCAGAACCCTAAAGCTCCTACCCCCTAAACCCTAAACCCCTAAACCTGTAGCAGGCTCATCCTGGTAAGGACTTCTACTCTGTACGCAGGTGGAAAGGGCCCATAAAAAAAAAAAAAACCTGAACCTCCTAGCCCTAAGCTTCCTGTGCCAGACCCGTCCCAGCTTGTCGTGAACAATCGACCCTCGCTTGGATGGGCCGGGGCGGGGGGCATTAATCCTAGGTAGTGGGAGACCCCTTGAAGGGGACCCTTCTTAACCCTACTTGTGGCTCTCTTAACAGGGACCTCGTTGAGAGGGTCTATATCCCCAAGGGTCCCCCTAATCCTAACTCCTACTTACTGTAACGTGATCTACAAGGGTGCTGGTCCAGGAAAGGATCTCTTGTATAGGGGCCTTAATAATTAAAATAGGGTTTTGGGGGTATATTACTTATACTATAAATATAAGAAGGAAGCCCCCAAAATATTCTTGGCAATGATTTAGGGCCCTATATATTCGGGTGCTTTAAGAGTTCTGCTGAGGGTCCCTTCGAAGGATTCTGGAAGGGCTTTGGGGTGTGTAGGGTTGTGGTTTGGGCGGGCAATGGCCAACAAGCAGCGGCTAATGCAAAGTACTGGTAACATCCTTCTGGCCCACCGCAGTACCCCTCCTGATAAGAGATTACTTGCTCTTGGGGTTTTTTGAGACTTCAGTGGCGAAAAGTGGGCTGCAGGCACCCTTGATTTCCATGCAGGAACCGACCCGAATTGAAGAAATCAGAAATCCGAAAGACGCAGCTGCCGAGTAGTTCGATCATGTCGTCACCATGGGCTGGAACACCGTCACTACTGGAACGCCGTCAACACTTGGCTTTTGTCTGAAAGTATTCTCAGACCTGCCCTTCTTGTCGCCTGAGCCTTTATACACCTGTAGCATTAGGGTTTGCGGCTTAGGGTTTGGCTGATTGGATTTAGAGCTCCGGGTTCAAAAAGGGTTCCTGGCAACAGCAAGGCTTCAACTGGCTGCAGACTGTCTCCTTGACGCTGGAACTGCAAGTGGAGGGGGTCCCGTTGGCCAAGCCTCGCACTGTGGCACACCCATATTGCCCCGACTTCGGACCGGGCACAGGGTGATGCCTACCCATTAGTTCGGAGATTTCTGCCGCTGCTGCTGTTCGTAAGGTCTTATCGAATCGCAGTTTGCTGGCTTCGGAGCTCGTTATGTTGATTCTCTTCAAGATTCTTTTGTCCGTCGACAGTACTGAAATTTCTTGCGGACTAGCAGGAGCAAGTTTATCCTGGGATAGATACGAAACCCTAACCCCAAACCTGCTTCTGAATGCTGTGCCAGCTCAGGAAAGTTAGACTGGCCGAGGACGACATGTTCCAGGACTGTCTAAAGCTGTGACAGATGGAGTCTGCGTTTTTGTTTCGCATTTCTTCATTGTAATAGTTCCTTCTCTTGGTTTAAGTTTAACCAGTTTTATATGTAGGATCCTAGAAGGTAATTCGGAAAAAAACAACTCCAATGAGAATGGAGACGATATAGGCTTTTCTGCGAGGAACCGGTTCAGGTCATGGTTTCTCCAGAGGGCGAGGTCGGCTCGGCGGGCCTATGTTCTTGGGCTGGAGAGGATCGTATTTACGATGATTTTTCAGAGGCTTTGGTTCCATGAAACAAGCGCCGGAATGTGGAGAGTACGAAATCGCCCAAAAAAGCGCAACGGCACCCTCAAAAGCCCCTTGAACCCTCTGCAGCAACGCCTAAACTAAACCCAAAGGTCCAGTTTCTTGAAGAGCCAACAGGAGTACTTGGAGCTCAAGCTGCTCAGCGAAGATCCTAAGGCCAAGGC